ACGAAAAAAGGTTCAATTATGGATCACTTTTCAGAAAGGTGGCAAATGCTGTTGCACGACTGAATGAGCCCTTACCCTATTCCCGCCAAACTGGCGCATACAGGCAGCCTCTTGGTGGGTGGGCTTTAACACCGAGCAGTCGCATATATGCGGCCCTAGGTAAACATTTTACTGTCTTGAGACCCTGCTCCAATCACAGTAACAAATGGGTACCGGTAAGCTCCTGATGCATACTTGCGATAAGGAGCTTTCCAATCATGTGAACGCTAGGACTGCCAATCGCAGCAGTCAAATGATCGGAATGCCTGCCTCCACCACCCTGCATTAAGATCCTCTTAAAGGGCCAGGGGGAGGCAGTGGAAAAGGGGGTAAAAAAAAAAAAGCCTTCCATGGGAACAGATGGTTAGCTTTTTTCCAGCCCGACAGGCACACATGGCACCTCCCTTCAGACTCAGGAGCATGGGCTGGAGTGCATTCTTGCAGGATTTAAATTCTTTTAGCCATTTCCCGGAAGGCATGGTGACATCTTCCTTCTGGAAGCATCAAAGGCTTAGGTAAGTAGCCCCCCCCCCCAGGCAAATGGATTGTGAAGTGTTAATTCTCAGTCATTTTATTTTTGCTGCCTGGGTTCCAGTGGGGAAACTTCATTTTCTGTCTAAGAGAGCAAAAAGTAGTAAGAAGGAATCCCTACAAAGTAAGAAAGTTGTCACAGGAACAGGTTTCTCCAGAGTTCTCCTTACCTATTGTTCCGGTAATATCTGTAAATGTATAGATTTTCTTTCAGGGATAAGGGTCACCAGGACAAATAGTGAAGGTGTACCTACCCAACAGGGACATAGACCGCAATAAAAACCAGAGAGGATATATTCTTTCCCAACTTTATAAAACAAAAATAAGAATTGGCTACACATACACTTATTAGCACCCAATTGGTTACAAATTGTTACTTCCACACCTAATAAAGGCGGCTTCCAGTTTTAACAATTATCTCAATGCAGTTTTTTTTTGACTCATCAAGGATGACAGGTGGATGTGTTCAGCCACACAACAAAAGAAAACAAACAGTGACCTCTGCTGGTGATACAGTAAGTGACACAGAGGGCCGCGGTAAACCAGTGATGACATGAGCTGCAAGGCCCAGAAAGAAAACCTATGACAAGACAAATATGTAGGCTGTCACTGCTGACCATTTGAAAATGCTAGTTCTTTGGCTGATGCTCTGCTCTAATATTTTCTGTAATAAAAAGGTTTGAAGGATACGCTCACCTTAAAAACGAATAAATAAATGCACTTTTTTGCAGGTAAGAAATGAAAAAAAAGTAAATGCACTTTTCTTTTAGGAGCCTGCAAAGTATTGCACCTGCGATCAGATTGCTGGTGCAGTGCAAGACTCCTGCAGGCTGTCTGTGTAATCTATCTGCCTGGGCACGCAGTTTCACACTGACAGGAAGAACCAATGAACTACCACAGCGCTCCACAGCACTGTGGCAAGTTCACTGAGAACTACAAGCCAACATCAGCAAAGGATGTCAGTAGTTGTAGTGGATTCATTCACAGAGCTCTGAATGAATGGGGCGGCTGTGTGGGCAGAGCTCTGCACGGTTGCGTTCTTTTCAAAAAGTAACAGCTGGTATGGGGAACTGCTGTCACACAGAGGGTTCAGATCGCCAAACCGCTGCAGGAGTGGGAACATGTTACATGTTCCACCCTAAAAACATGTGGAACATGTAACATAATCCCAAAAATGAACTTCTTCTTGAAAGGATTAGTTCACCTTTTAAACAAAAAGTTATAAATTCATATTTATTGTGTGCATTTATTATTTTTTGTTTGTGGTGCCTTTAAAGCATTGCACCAGTCATCAGCAGATCCCTGGTGCTATGCAGGTCTCCCCCTGACCGGTCAGTGTATCTGCTTGCTCATACATCCCATGTGGGCAAGTACAGTGAAGAGTTTGGAATCTGATTGTTTGATTGCTCCTGTGGACAGGTGTCTTTTATACAGGTAACAAAATGAGATTAGCAGCACTCCCTTTAAGAGACTGCTTCTAATCTCAGCTTGTTACCTGTATGAAAGACACCTGGTAGCCAGAAATCCTGCAGAATGATAGGGGATCAAATACTTATTTCCCTCATGAACATACAAATGAGTGCATCATTTGTTAGACATGCATTTCTTTTGATTTTTGTGTTGCCATTCTGTCTCTCAGTGTTACAATACACCTATCATTCGATTTTTAAACTGATCATTTCTTTGTGAGTGGGCAAACATTCCAAATCAGCCGGGGATCAAATACTTATTTCCTTCACTGTAGATACTTACTAACAGCAAGGCTCAATGAACTACCACAGTGTTGTGGAACGCCATGGTGGTTCATTGAAAACTACAAGCCGACAGCCGCAATGAATGTGAATGAGTGACATGGCCGAGTGAGAGGAGCCCCTCACAGCCACAGCCACGTTTTTAAAAAGAAAATGTGACCGCTAGCAGGGAGGAGAAGATCCCCCGCTAGCTGTCAGAAAAAGAGGGGGGGGGGGGGGGGGGGGTTATGGAGTCCGAGCGTAGCATGTTACATCCTGAACAGGGGTTGACTGACAACTCATGGGGCCCCCGGGCAATAGGGGATCATGAGGCCCCTGAGTCCTTGCCCAAACTCAAAAAAGCCTATGAAAAAGGTACCAGGGGCATCTCACTGGGCCCCCTACTGACCCCGGGCCCTCAGGCAGTGCCAGAGTTTCCAAATGGTCAGTCCGCCCCTGATCCTGAATATGGGTGTAACATGTAAAGTGTTACGAAAAGGTGAACTAATCCTTTAAAAACACACAGGGGGAGATTTACTACAGCTGGTGCACTGAAAATCTGGTGTAGCTGTACGTGGTAGCCAATCAGCTTGTTCAATTAAGCTTTGGCAATAAAACCTGAAAGCTGAATGGTTTTTATACTGAGGTGAACCTGACTTTGCACTATCCAGCTTTAGTAAATATATCCCACAGACACTACTCAGTTCAACCCTTCTGCGAAGGATCACATACACTGACATTTACTAATCTTATGGTAACTGGTTACAGCAGAAAATGATGGCACTGATTACAATAGATAGCAGCTCAGCATCAGCCCAGTCCAATCAGGAATGTAGATGCAGATGTGTCAAACACATCCAATCTCTAAATCAATGGGCAGACAACATCTTCCATGGATCTTCCAGGGAAGCTAAGTGCACAACAACGGGTTTCTAAAATACATCTAAAAGCATTGAGCAATCTGATTGGTTGAAGCAGTAGTAATTTCACCAAAGGTGATGAAAAGAGAAGCATAGGTTTGTAAAAAAAAAAAAAATTTATACTCACCTACAATGGATGCAGCTTCGTTCCATACTGCATCTGTTCCCTGTCAGCTCTAAGACTGAGAACTGAACAATCAAAGACCGCTGATAACTGAGCGATCAAACACTAAGAATTGACTGCCGATAACTGAGCAAAAACTGAGAACTGTTACAACAGAGCAGGGGGCAGGGCTGTGCTGCCCTCTCTGTGTCAAGCCCACAGGGGTGACCCCATGAAACGTGGATTTCCATGGGGCCAATCGCTGAAGAGGAGGAGCCTGGAGAGCTGGCAGAGGACCCTAAAATAAGAGCATCATGGCTGCTCTGTGCAAAACCACTCCACAAAGCAGGTCAATCTACCATGTTTGTTATTTTAATTAAGAAAAAAAAATAAAGGAAGGTTTAATATCATTTATAATCTAAAGCGGTTAAGTTGTATATCCACTTCCAGCCCGGACACTTTTACCCCCTTCCTGTCCAGGTCAAATTTTCAGCTTTCAGCGCTATCACACTTTGAATGACAATTGCGCAGTTGTGCAACACTGTACCCATATGAATTTAGTATTTTTTTTGAGACAGATACAACTTTATTTTGGTGGTATTTATTCACCACTGGGTCTTTTTTTTTTGCTATGTAAATGAAAAAGTCCAAAAATGTTGAAAAAAAGTTTTTTCTTATAAAATTTTGCAAATAAATAGTATTTCATCATAAATATCTTAGCCAAAATGTATTCCGTTATCTTTTTAGTAAAAAAAAAAATATATAACCCAAATTAGTTTATAACCAAAATTATAATTTTTAAACATTTTATTTTACATTTTTATATATATATATATATATATATATATATATATATATATATATATATATATATATATATATATATATATATTTTACATACTGTCACCCTAGCAGTACAGTGTCACCATGGTGACACTACTACTTGTGGAGGGTGATGAAGATTTTTTTTTTTTTTCCCACACTGATTGCTTTTACACCCATAAAGGCTGTAAAAGCAATCATTCCTCCTCCTCTCTAGCTGCATTCTTGCAGCCATTGAGAACTACTGTGTGAGCTGTGATTGGTCACAGCTTGTCACATGGTAGAAGGCTGTTGTGAATAGCCTTGTACCTCGTGACCTCTGTGATCATTCACAGATTTCACATGTAGTAAGCAATGATGTCAAAAGTGACATCTTGCTTACTACTCTGCATATGATCACTGATTGGCCAATCAGTGATCACATGATTGGGACCTCGCACAGGGGTCCAGTCCGACGATCGGTGTTCCGGAGGACACAGCGGGAGGACACAGCGGGCACCGGATCACAGTGCTGCGCGCTCCCAGGAAGCGCGCACAAGCAGGGTGCGGGGAGGCTGTTTATAAATGGCCACCCCCCCTGCACTGCCACCATCCGGCCGTTTATATACAATGGCTGGACAGGAGGTGGATATACTTTAACCGTCTGCAAGATTAAAACTAAATAGTTCTATTACTCTCATCCCTGTCTGGTGGTGGTCAGCAGGACAGGATGTGATGGTAATTCTCTCTAAGTCCCAGATAGAAGTATAAACATAAAAGAAAAAAAAAAAAAAGGAAGAATCTATCCAAAACTAAAATGTTCTTGGCCTGACATACACTTTAAATATTCCTGTAGGAGAAAACACTATGACCTACCTTACTGAGACATATGTCCACAGCTGGCTCTTTAAGCCTTACTGTTGCTTTTCCTTCATTTAAAAACTTGGAGAACAAGTTCTCAATGTTTTCTTGTAGCTGTAATAAAACAAAAAGCCTCATAAAGTAAACAAAAAGAAAAAAACAGAAGTTCAGTCACCCTGGCATACAGGCACTGTGCACTACACATGCGTAACTCAGTGTACATTCTGACTACTTAAGCTCCGGAAGGTTTTATCCCCTTCATGACATTTTTTTGCTATTCGACACTGTGCTAGTTTAACTGGTAATTACACGGTCATGCAAAGCTGTACCCAAATGAAATTTAGAACATTCTTTTCACACAGAGTTTTTGATCACCACTGGGTTTTTAATTTTATATTATATATAAAAAAAAAAAAAAAAAAGACTAAAATTAAAAAAAATAACATAAAAAATTTTTTTTTTGCTTTCGGCTATAAAAAAACAAAAACAAACTTCTTCATAGAATTTTGGCCAAAATGTATTCTACTACGTTTTGGTAAAAAAAAAAAAAAAAAAAAGTATATATATCCCAATAAGTGTAGATTAATTGGTGAAAGCTATAGCATCTACAAACTGTGAGATATACTAGAATGTATGCAGCTTTAAAGCAGCGCTTACTGTTTAGCACATTTCTTGAGGCCCTAAAATAGCAAGATAGTACAAACAACCCCCCCCCCCAAAAACCAAAACCAAAAAAAAAAACCCTTTTTGGAAAGTAGATACCCCAAGGAATTTGATAAGAGGCATGGTGAGTATTTTGCAGATCTCGTTTTTTGTCACAAGGTTTTGAAGAAGGAAAATACATTTGTTTACTTTATGTTCCCAAGACTTGTGGCAACAAATGAGATCTGCAAAATACTCACCATACTTCTTATCAAATTCCTTGGGGTGTCTGCGTTCCAAAAAAGGGGTCATTTGAGGGGTGTTTGTACTATGCTGGCATTTCAGGGCCTCTGAAACTGTGACAGATAGTCAGGAAACCAAATGCACAAGTTACGACCTTTAAAAGCCTGAAGGTGCTCATTGGATTTTGGGCCCCCATAGCAGGTAGGCACCCAAAGAAAAAAAAAAAAGTCTCACACATGTGATATTTCAATATGCAGAAGTAGCAGAATGTGTTTTAAGGTGTAATGCCACATATAACACATGACATGTGTGAGAAACATCTCATGAAAAGTGACAACTTTGTGTTAAACAGAAAAAAAAAAACAATTTGCCATTTTCCAAAAACGTGGCAAAAAAAAAAAAAATCTTCCATGGACTCAACATGCCTCTCAGCAAATACCTTGGGGTGTCTATATTTTAAAAAAGGGGTCATTTAGGGAGTGTTTAAACTGTACAGGCACTTTAGGGCCTCTAAATATATTACATGCATGGCCAGCATTAGGAGTTTCTGCCACACTCCTAATGTTGGGCATACACGTGACATTCTAACAGATCCCTTGATTCACATCAGTCGATGTGGTTAAAGAAATCTCTGCCAGGAAAAGGGCATGTCCAACATTAGAAGCTTCCCCCCCCACGCTTCTAATGTTTGGCATGCATGTAATCTTCTTTTTTCATCCAGCTCACAGGCTGTGGATGGAGAAATCTCCTCCTGCAGGCACTGATGTATGTATTCTGAGAGCAGCACCCTGCTGCTGTCAGAATACACAGATCAGTGATGCAGCTGATTGGTGTTCCTGTAAAGTAAACAACAGATAATAACACACAGTAATAATATAACATTAACTCAATTAGTGTCCATGAACACTGGGCTTAAAAAAAAAAACAAAACAAAAACTAGTTTCCCTGGCAGCAAAAACATTGATACAGGAGCATTTTTGTAGAGGAGTTTAGGAGCATTCAGTGTTTATTTTTTTTTTCTGCCACAAAACTGCTCTTGAAAATGCAAAAAACAAAAAGGTTTTTTCTTGCCTCTAAACATCCTATTTAACATTGAGCTGCTTCTACAGGCAAAACTGTAGAAGCAGCATTTTTTTTTAAACCACTGGACATTTTTACATTTTTTTTTTTTAATTTAACTTTTCAGAACAATACCCTTTCCAGCCTTTAATTTTAGGGTCTCACAAAATGTGTTTCCTGACAACCTAACATCTTCAAAGACTCTTCTTGTGCAGAATTGTGTGTACCCCTAGAATGTGCCATGCTGTACTCTAGAATAAATAGTTCACTATGGTGTGGTAGCAACGGAAGCAGTCCTTGATGCAGAGGCCAGGTTGCTCAGGACAGAAGGGGAAAAAAAAGAAAAGAAAAAAAAAAAAAGACAAAACAGGTGTCACGCATTATTCCGTACATCTTTTTTTGGTGTAACCGTTGTATTGGGGTAGGTTGGAGAACATTTGGAAATAGTCTCTCATGGAAGTTGGCTAACTGCATCTGAATTTGGGCGTTGGGCTACACCTTGTGGAAACAAAAGGGCTGAGACTATTCCTGAAATTTAAATTTTCTGAAGAATCCAGTTCATCCAGTAGCTTTGTAAATAAATTGTACAGAGCCAATCGAAACACAAGTAAAAAAAAAAAAAAGAAAAAAAAAAGTGACCAATATAGCCAGCCTTCTTTTCAAGAACAGTCGTAAGCCTTCCACTCATGGAGTCTGTCAGTTTCTTGATCTGTTGACTATCAACTTTTTGCGCAGCAGCAACCACAGCCTCCCAGACACTGTTCAGAGAGGTGTACTGTTTACTTTCACCATAAATCTCCCATTTACGAAGCACCCACAAGTTCTCAATAGGGTTTAGGTCAGGTGAGGAAGGAGGCCATGTCATAATTCTTTCATCTTTAAGGCTTTTACTGGCTAGCTGCGCAGTGGAATACTTCGATTCATGTGATGGAGCATTGTCCTGCATAAATATCATGGTCTTTTTAAAATACTTTTTCCTGTACCACTGCTTGAAGAAAGTGTCTTCTAAAAGCTGGCAGTAAATTTGAAGTTGATTTGGAGTCCATCTTCAACCCAAAAAAGGTCCAATTAGCTCATCTTTAATAATAACAGCTCATACCAGTACCCCACCTCCACCTTGCTGGTGTGAGTCGAAGTGGAACTCTGTGCCTGTTAATGATCCAGCCACGGGCCCATCCATATGGTCCTTCAAGAGTCACTCATCTCATCGGTTCATAAAACCTTTGAAAAGTCTGTCTTCAGATATTTCTTGGCCCTGTCTTGACGTTTCAACTTGTGTGTCTTGTTCAGTGGTGGTTGATGTGACGGAAGTCACTTTGGGTGGGGGGCCCATGGAACACAACCCCTTTAGAGAGTTGGGGAGACCCGTCTCAGCTCCCCATATCCCTCTTATGTGTAAGTCACCCTGTGCCTGTTAGGGGTACAGGGTGGAATGTCCTACTATTGTGTAGACATGTATAGGTGGGGGTTGTTCATTGTTCACTGCTATGTGGCTGCATCCCATTGTTCTATTGTGTGTCTTGCTTGGGAGCAAACTTTAATGGGATGTGTTTGTGTATTGGCTTGGTGGGAGGGGTGTTTCCTGCAGCCCTTCCCCCTGATGGGACTGCCTGCTGATGTGTTTCCTGTTACTGAGTGTGCATTTCCCCGCCCTGTGTATATATCTTGTATCTACGTTAAAATAAAGCAGGCTATCTCCTAGAATCCTTCAAGTCTGGTGCTGTCTCCTCTTGTATGGTCAGCGGTGGTGTCCGTGTTCGGACAGGGAAGCGGGAGTCTAACGGAAATACCCTAGTGCAGTCGGGGTCCGGTTCTGTTACAGTTGAGTTTCAGCCTTACCTTGGCCACGTCTCTGAGCACTGAACACTTTGTGCTTCTGGGCACTCCAGGTAGGTAGCAATTCTGGAATATGACAGAACTGGAGGATAATGGGTTCCAGGTAGCTTCATGTTTGATTCTTCTCAAATCTTTGGCAGTTAATTTGCATCTGTTTTTCTCAACACGTTTCTTGCGACCCTGTTGACTATTTGCAACAAAACGTTTGATGGTTCTGAGATCATGCCCAAATATCTTAGCAATTGCAAAAGTGCTGCATCCCGCTGAAGACTTTTAAAAATATTTACTTTTCAGAGTCAGTGAAATCTTTTTGGCCAATTTTGTCTAAAGAAAAGAAGATGCCTAGTAATTATGCACGCATTGATATAGGGTTTTGATCCTCTTAGGCCACACCATCCTTCATTACACATCACCTGATATGCTTAAATCCAATAAGCATTCAATTTTATACAGCTTGGAGTTGGACAATATGCATAAAAATGATGATTTGGTCAAAATGTCCACTTGCCTAATAATTGTGCACACAGTGTAGTATAGTTCTGACAATGACCAGGACACTGATCCAAACACACTATTTTGGTAAAGGCGGTGATCAGCGATTTATAGTGTGACTGTGATAGTGTGGCAGGCAATCAAGGACTGGCGCTGACACTGGCTGGGAGGGACACGGACATTGCTAGTGATGCTAACACAGTGATCAGTGATAATACTGTACTAATGACAGTGGCTGGGTGACAGGGGTGATCAGTAGGGCAATCAAGGCATTAATTGTGTGCCGATTCTACTCACAGACTAGCTGGCTTTTCTCCGTGACCTCGGCTCTGAATGGCAAGTGAGATCAGGGAGAAGAAACAGCCAGATCTGCATTCTTCCTGTTGCAACTCTGGGCAGCAAAAAAAAAAAAACTCTATCCAAAGCCAAATATAAGCCATACAGACACTTTAAAATTTGGCAGAAATTTCCCCTCAACAGGGCCACAAACAGCCCTATCCTGAAGTTCTAAAGGGGAATTTCACCCCACGTGCATTTTTTTTTCTTTTAGATCCCAACTATTTTTTTGATTCTGGAATTCTGCACAATTTACTATGTTCTCACGCCAAAAATATATCCAAGCTTTGTCCTGCTGTGATCCACCCTACCACATCCTGATTTCTACAAGGCCAACATCTCTCCTACATCATCGGAAACAGCTTGTCTCTTCTGGTTTCTTGCAGTTGCAAAGCCTAAACCTAAAGGATTCGAGACCTACCAGATCCCAAACCTAAAAGATCCGAGACCTACCAGATCCCAAACCTAAAAGATCCAAGACCTACCATATCCCAAACCTAAAAAATCCGAGACCTACTAGACTAACATATTCCTGCCCTACCAAACACAAACAGATCTCAATCTGAGGAGATCCCAGCCCTACGTATCCTAACCCACCAGACCCCAGCCTAACTGGATCCCAGGTTTACCAGACATAATCCAACCAGATCACAATCCAACTGGATATCAGCTCTACCAAATCCCAACCCAACCTGATCCAAATTCTACCAGATTCCAATATAAACAGATACCAAATCAATCAGACCTCAAACTGAACAGATTCCAATTCTACCTGATCCAGATCTTACCAGAACCCAATCCAACCTCAGACCTACCGGATCCAAGACCCCAATCCAACCAGACCCCAGGGCAACTAGATGTAGCCAATCAGTAGCCAGACCTAAACCTAGGAGCTCTCCCCCCTTTGTGTCTGTTTGCCCCAGGTTGGCATTGTGCCCACAGCAGCATTTGCAGAGCAGAGGAGGACTGGCCAAAGGGGATTACTTTGATGCCAGCTTAAACATGTATTGCAATACATGCAATCCCTATGTTGTTACTGCAAAGTTAGCGGGAAAAGGTATATAGCAGTGAGCAGAGGGTTTTCCAGAATTTCTAGGGTTAACACGTGGTTACACCTCTTTAGCACCTGATCGATAAATGCATGTACAAGCTTTTGGGATTTGAGCACAGGAATATCTAGGCCTACTAGATTCCAACCGTACCAACTTCCAGACCTAGATCTCAATACCACCAAATCCCAGCCTTACCTGATCTGAGACAAACCAGACAACAGCCCTACCAGATCCTAATCCTAACAGATCGCATTCCCTACCAGATTGCAATCCAACTGCATCCAAGAACAAACAAATCACGGCCCCAAAAGATTCCAATCCTAAAAAAAAAACCCTGGCCCTACCAGATCCCAACCCTACCAAGCCACAGTCCAACCCATCAAATTCCACTCCAGCCTGACCTGCTCCAAATCTTACTGGATCCCAGACCTACCAGATGCCAATTTGTATCTCAGACCTACCAGATCCATATCCAACCACATTATAGACCCTTCCAGTTCCCAATCCTGAACAACTCCCAGGGCTAGTAAGTCCAAATCCCAGTCTGACCAGATCCCAATCCAACAGATATTAGACCTACCAGATCCCAATCCAACTGGATCCCATACTTAGCAGATTTGAACCCCAGTTCCACCAAATCCCAATCTGAACAGACTCCAGCCCTACCAGAGGACACCCGGCTAGATCCAAGACTACCAGATCCAGATCCTAACCCCCTACCCTCAGTGTACAGTACCAGGCACACTGTCATCCCTACATGCAGGTTGTCATAGTAACAGGTGGCCCCCATGGTGACAGAGTCAGGACCCACCTTATACCTAGAGCCGGCCTTGTCCTTCAGGGTGCAGATCATCAGGTAGATTGCCCCCCGCAGGCCTGAGCCCTTCTCCTCCTGTCTGCCCACAGACAGCACAGCCCGGGTGCCCTTCCCTCTGTTCCTCATCCCAAAGGTGGGCAACATGCGGTTAATGACCTCCACCTCACACTGCAGCCTCATGGCTCCCCGGTCCCGATCCTCCGGGGGTGACTGAGACCGGACAACACAAACACCGATCTAGCCAAATTTGTGTTCCCGCTCTGTGCTCCTGACGTCACATTCCCTTCAGTCCTCCAGTGTGATAGAGCGAGGAGGGACGGGAGAAGGCGCCGCTCTACATCCCTTCCGGTCTCTCCCCACGGCGGAAGTCTCTGCTGCCAATGAGTCTGTCTTTGCTTTACAGTAGAAACACAACACGGATGAAGTGTCACTCCTATAGATAAACACAATCGAGTCCTTGGCTCAGGACACTGACCAAGAGAACCTGTCATTAGGGCACTGTACGGGAAATACGATTTCATTAAAGTGTTTCTAAATCCTGGACCCCGCATTCACTATATCTGGTCTCCCCAGACCCCGCATTCACTGTATCCGCCCTCCCCGGACCCCGCATTCACTGTATCCGCTCTCCCAGGACCCCGCATTCACTGTAGCCGCTCTCCCAGGACCCCGCATTCACTGTATCCGGTCTCCCCGGACCCCGCATTCACTGTATCCGGTCTCCCCTGACCCCGCATTCACTGTATCCGGTCTCCCAGGACCCCGCATTCACTGAATCCGGTCTCCCCGGACCCCGCATTCACTGTATCCGGTCTCCCCGGACCCCGCATTCACTGTATCCGGTCTCCCAGGACCCCGCATTCACTGTATCCGCTCTCCCAGGATCCCGCATTCACTGTATCCGCTCTCCCGGGACTCCGCCATTCACTGTATCCGCTCTCCCCGGACCCCGCATTCACTGTATCCGGTCTCCCAGGACCCCGCATTCACTGTATCCGGTCTCCCAGGATCCTGCATTCACTGTATCTGCTCTCCCAGGATCCCGCATTCACTGTATCCGCTCTCCCGGGACTCCGCCATTCACTGTATCCGCTCTCCCCGGACCCCGCATTCACTTTATCCGCTCTCCCCGGACCCCGCATTCACTATATCCGCTCTCCCAGGACTCCGCCATTCACTATATCCGGTCTCCCCGGACCCCGCATTCACTATATCCGGTCTCCCCGGACCCCGCATTCACTATATCCGGTCTCCCCGGACCCCGCATTCACTATATCCGCTCTCCCAGGACTCCGCCATTCACTATATCTGGTCTCCCAGGACCCTGCATCCACTATATCTGGTCTCCCCAGGCCCTGCATTCACTATATCTGGTCTCCCTGGACCCTACATTCACTATATCTGGTCTCCCAGGACCCTGCATTCACTATATCCGCTCTCCCAGGACTCCGCCATTCACTATATCCGGTCTCCTCGGACCCTGCATTCACTATATCTGGTCTCCCCGGACCCCGCATTCACTATATCTGCTCTCCCAGGACTCCGCCATTCACTATATCCGGTCTCCCCGGACCCTGCATTCACTATATCTGGTCTCCCACAGTATACAGAACATGGAAATGCAATTGTTTTAATAAATATAAACTGCTGAATACCTTTGCTCATCAGCAGTTAGAGCATTCTTGTGGCTTCTATCAGTATCCAGCTGAGCACTAGTTAAAGCTTGTAGGAGGAGTTTTCTTTCTGCTCCAGGAGGATGCAGAACCCCTGACCTCTGTCTGGACAGTGCTAATTAGTCCTGTGCTGATCACATGCACTATCCCAAGAAAAAACAAACCTATCAATACACATCAAACTGAGCATGTGCAGACTGACTCCACATGATATGACTTATCAGGGGATAAGAGTGGGGCACTGGAAGAAGGGGAGGATCAGGGAAGTCAGGATCAAACAGACTTTTTACACAATGCAGAGGATTAACCCCTTAGGTTCCACAGTGAGCAGAACAAGCATGCTTTACTGCAGGGGTCTTGAATTAAAATTTATGGAGGTCCGGTCAGCAAAATTTCCTTCCAGCAGAGGTCCGAATCTAGTTAGCGATATAACACATCACAGTCCCCTTGTACATTATGATCTTTAGCGTACCTGTCACACTCTAGTCCCCTGTACATCACAATCCCCTCTTTAAAGAAGTCCCACAGTGTCCTCTTTTCCCTTCACATCACTTGTCCCCTTTACATCACAGCACCCCTTAACAAAACACAGCGTCTCCTAACTCAACACAGCACCTCTAACACAACAGAGCACCCCTAACAACACAGCAAATATATAGCAAAGCTGGGATGTCTCTTTGCTGGACAGGGATGTCTCTTTGCTGGATGGGAATGTCCCTTCTTGGACTTGGCTGTCTGTTTGCTGGATTGGGATGTCTCTTTGCTGGACCCAACTGGGCAAAGAGACAGCTCAGTCCAGCAAAGAGACATCATCGTCCAGCAAAGAGACAGCTCATCCAGAAAGGAGACAGCTCATCCAGCAAGGAGACAGCCCATCCAGCAGAGAGACAACCCATCTAGCAAAGAGACAGCCTATCCATCAGACAGCCCGACCAGCATATAGACAGCCTGTCCAACAGAGACAGCCCATCCAGCAAAGAGACATCCTGTCCATCAAAGAGACAGCTCGTCCAGCAAAGAGACAGCCGCATCCAGCAAAGAGTCAGCCCGTCCAGCAAAGAAACATCCCTTTCAGCAAAGAGACAGCCCGTCCAGCAGAGACAGCCCCATCCACCACCGCTACAGAGCTGTCACAATGTGCCGGCGTGTGAAGAAGAGAGGCCGCCGTTGCCCCTTCAGTGCAGCGGCTGGCCGAGAAGGTGTGCCTGTGTCAGCAGCGTTTCCTGCTTGTCATCTGAAGCTGTCACTGCTGTTCTTCCTGTCGGCCCTGCTTTAGGTATAGCCGCACAGTGGGAGGTGAGCAGCGACTGCGGTCTGTATTAGCCTTGTCCAGACCACGATCGCCTCTTACCTCCTGTTGTGCGGCCTGGTCATTTTAAGCCCGGCAGCTCCGGCCCACTGGGCAAATGCCTGGTGTGCCCTATGACCAGGCCGGGCCTGAGCACGAGGGAGGGCACCCAGCGGTTCTGGACCGCGGTCCGCCATTTAGTGACCACTGCTTTACTGCATATACAGACTGATTTTACTGTTGTGGGTTTAGTAACTCTTCAACCACTTGCCCTCCTGAGGATTTCCCCCCCTTCCTGACCAGGCCATTTTTTGCGTTTTGTCGCTGCATTATTTTAATTGACAATTGCGCAGTCATGCAATGCCACACCCAGATGAAATTTACATCCTTTTCCCCCACTAATTGAGCTTTCTTTCTGTGGTATTTGAGCGCCTGTACGGTTTTTGTTTTTTGCGCTACAAAAAAAAAGTGACAATTTTGAGAGAAACAAAACAATATTTTTGACTTTTTGCTATTTAACATATCCAGTAAAAATATTTAAAAAATCAAATTTCGTCATAAATTTAGGCCAAAATGTATTCTGCTCCATGTCTTTGCTAAAAAAAATCCCAATACGTGTAAATTAATTGGTTAACGTGAAAGTTATAGCATTTACAAATGGCGGTATAGATACTGGATTTTTTTTTTTGTTTTTACTAGTAATAGCGGCGATCAGCGACTTATAGTGAGTTTAGTGATGGGGGTAACAGATCCAGTGCTGTCAGTCTGATCTGGGCTTCACTACCTAGCGAGTCACTGACCTAGAAGAAGATTGTAGTCATTGACAGCTGCAAAGGCCCATCCTGCACAATTGATCCTGACCACATGGAAGGCTGTGTGACAGGGTGACAACGCAGAAGCCCAAATGACAGAAAGAGACACACTGTAAAATGAAGTGCCTAATAAGGCCTTTCATGTCAGAAACACCAGGTATTCTATTGAATACTGCAGATTTTAAAAAAGTTTAAAAATAAGTAACATGAAGTCACTATGACAGCACGGCTGCCTCTGTAAAACTAAACTGCTTGGCTGAGATGGACACTTCTGATTGGCTGTTCAGCAGTGGGTTCTCATGGCGTGATTTCACACAGACATGACGAGTCTACATGGGCAAAGACTGCAGCTCTGCATCCACGGCTTGCCACTCTTAGAGGCAAACTCTGATAGGGACAAGGACTGCAGAATTAGATGAGGGCAAGGCTCCAATACACAGGAGCGCAGGGGCGGACTGACCATTTGGAAACTCGGGCTCTGCCCGAGGGCCTGGGGTCAGTAGGGGGCCCCATGAGATGCCCCTGGTACCTTTTTCATAGGCTTTTTTGAATTTGGGCAAGGACACAGGGGCCCCATGATCCCCTATTGCCCGAGGGCCCCATGAGTTGTCAGTCCGCCCCTGCAGGAGCGTGTTGTAGCTCAAAACTCTGGAGAAGAGAAATTCAATGCATCTGTATGAAGTTGGTTCGTGTTTCCACTTCGAGTCGCCTGAAACTCAAAAAAGTTTTAGAGCTACTTTTGTAGCTCAATTTGGACAGATTGGTGTGTTTTTTAAGCATTTTTAAGCACAGAAATGCACTGAAATGCTCAATTCACACGGTTTCTGAGTGTTTTCTCATGTGTTTAGGTGCATTTTCTGCTCAAGTACAATAAATAGATAAAAATAAATAAGAAAAAAACATAAATAAACATAATAATAAATAAATTAATACAAATAATAATAATAAATAAAACTGTGCAAAAAAAAAGGGGGGGGGAAGGGGGTGTCACATACTTGGTAAGTGACTGAATTGACAAGGTTGGCCTCTCTTGTATCTCCAGCCCTCTTAGAGCTGATTCACACATATGCGGAGCGGACTGAAGCTCAGGTTTGACAGCTAATTGATATAGTAGTTGTTCAGCGGTTCATGTCAGATTTACATCAGGTTCAGGACAAGATTAGCCCAGGATTTTATTCTGTTACACATGTCAGGTTTACATCAGGTTCAGGACAGGATTAGCTCAGGATTTTATTCTGTTCACACATATCAGATTTACATCAGGTTCAGGACAAGATTAGCTCAGGATTTTATTCTGTTACACATGTCAGGTTTACATCAGGTTCAGGACAGGATTAGCTCAGGATTTTATTCTGTTCACACATGTCAGGTTTACATCAGGTTCAGGACAGGATTAGCTCAGGATTT